TTGCACATAAAGTTACCAGGAACAGCCATGCTGCTGGAGTCTGCCAATTGAGGCTCCCTCAGGACATGGGGGTCATGTGTGATTGAGAATTTTTCATAGGCGACTATAATTAATCCTTTGGAAGATAATACAAGGAGAAATTCACCTAATGACTTAAAGCTTGACAGATTCTAGATAACCAAAAATTAGAAAACAAAAAGTTTGCCAGACAACAAAACTAACTGGCATTTCAGCAGGAGGAAAAGAAACTCAATTTAAGATACAGATGGTTTTAAATGCCAAAGGTGGAACTTGATTTCAAGTTTACTTATAATGTCTATATCTTGTTTTTTAACTTACATTGATGCAAGAAATACCAACACAAAATTCTGTACTGCTCTTTCAAAGCTATTCAATAAATTACATGAGTTATTCATGTCTATTATAAAATAGGCTTTGTGTTGCCTACTATGCAAGTGTTTTAAGTATGTTTATTGTGACTAAGCTAAGTTGTGATGACTGTCAGGTTAAGTTGTTTTAATACATCTTTAATTTATGATATAACTGTAATCCTATCTTACTTCCCAGCGCATTGCTGTGTGAACAGTGGACCATATCTGGCCAAGTGGATTTTATGAAGCACCTCACTTTGCAGATCTTTCTTTGCTTACATGGGCATATTAGTTCATGTTTTTAATTTCTGTTACATGGACTGGCATTGTGACACAACACATAGAGCTGCTTCTTGCAATGCTGGCATCCCACATAGGCATTGATTTGAAACCTATACTCCATTTCTAATCCATATCCTTGGAAATATGCATGGGAAAGCTGTGTAAGGTGGCCCAAATGCTTGGGCCCTGCCACCAACGTGCAAAGCCTTGAAGAGGCTTTTGACTGCTGGCCTTGCCCTGACCCAGCTCGGGCAATGTGACTATCTGTGAAGTGAACCATGGGAAGCAAGAGTTCTCGATGTGTCTCAACCTCCCTCTGTGTAGGTTGCCCTGTCAAATAGATCTTCTAAAAATAAATACATAAATAAGCCTGTTACCAAAGGATTGCATGTCATAGTACTAAAGATATTTTGTCCTATTTACACTCCAAACCACCATGCGTAAAGAATAGAATATTATCAAAGACATTCATCAGATAATGATTAAAACAGATTTCCTATGGTGAGGCTTGACAAAACAAAGGGAAAATAGAAATAGTATTAATTTTAAACAAATGTCTTGATGGGGCTGTACTCCCATCATTTTTACAAAGTTTTACTTTAGCGTAAAACATTGAAATTGAAAAAATCTAATTGGAAATGGGGAAGTTGTGGTTTATTCAGAATCCACTGCCAAATTTAAACTAATGAAGTTTGTTGTGCGAATTACAATGATCAGAAGAAAGTAAGTATTCTCACGTGAGAAGATAAGAGCACACTGGGCAAAAACAGCCTTGAATGCAGATTGCCATGAACCTTGTGGTTTTGCCGTATGCTTCCAATATGTAAGAGAATAGTTGTAACAAAATGTCAAACAAGGTTGCCACAACATTGACTTCTGTTGTGTTAAAACACATTGCCTGCTTATCATCCAGAATTTCTGCACTTGTCAATAATGTGTCACGGTGGTATGCTGCAAAGACTGTTTATTTGCTTACTATCACCCTTTATCACCATGCTGGTTGGGAGGTTTGATACAAAGACAATGTTTCTGCATTAAGAAACAATGCTGTCATACAGGAGAAATAGCATAGGTTCATCAGTGTCTGACATAGATACACACTGCGTAAAGCATTGCCAAATTGTAGGTCCAAGATTGGATGACCCTAAGGAATTCTTCTGACATCACTGGGTGGTGAAATTGTACTAGCCTGCTAGAACTGCACTGACAAAATACCACGGACTTGTTCAAACTACAAAATGTGTTTTCCCCAGTTCTGGGTACTACAAATTCTTGGGGTGAGGGGGAAATCTTGGAAGTTGAAGTTATAGAGTGAGAGGGAGAGACAAAAAGAAAGAAAGATATTCTATTCATTTTTCTATTTCCCAAATAGCCACAGTGGCCCATGTGGGTGCAGTGTCCAAAGGCCTTGGGCCACCCTCCGCTGCTTCCCTGGTCCATAAACAGGGAGCTGGATTGGAAGTGGAGCAGCCTGGATTCGAACTGATATCCATATGGGCTGCTGGCACCACAGGGTGGGGATTAGCTCACTAGACCACCATGTTGTCCCCTTTTACACTTGAAAGGACATTGATCAGGACCCCACCCTTATGACCACATTTTACTCTGATTACTCCCCCTCCACACTGGAAATTCACTTTTATTGCAGTTCCACTGGCTGTACCGTGTGTTCCTGACGTTACGCTCCTTCCTTGGCAATCCTGTCTTTCTTGTGTACTTTCACCTTTGGGATTAGGGCTTAAGTATATGATTTCCAAGGGGACACAGTTCATTCCCGACTGGAGTCACTGAATATAGAATGTGTTTACAGGTATGGCCAGCCATATGAAACTGATATGCTGGTTTTAGTTGTGAAAAAGAACATGATCAGTGAGTACTGTAATATGGAAAGGGTCATGAGTCACAGAGATCATGGGGACTACAGTATCTGTGGAAGGAAAGGACCCATTTATCAATAGACCCTCGTGGAAAAATTCAGAATAGGTTTTCAGGCTCCAGTTTTATGAACTCCAGTGTCACTGGTATAAATAGTGACACTGTGGGATGTGGGACTTCCTAAATGATTCTGGTATACCAGATGAAGCTCTGTGTCCCAACCGCCACCTAGGACTACAGGTAAATAAGAATATATGAACCTCATTGTTGTGTACGACTGATTAAAGTTGTAGTATTTTAGTGTACCTGAGCCAGGCTGGGGAACAACAGGAATAAACTACATGTGACATTTATAGGCTGGGGCCTTGAGTGAAGAAAGGAGCATGATGGGCTTGAGGTAACCCAAGTTGGCTGCTTTTCTTGGCACATATGACTGGTTAAAGACTACTTTCTGTCTCACCTTAATTATGTTCCACAAGGGTTGGTTCCAAATTTGTGCATTTAGTTGGGGTGAGATAAAGGGGGAAAATGAGTATAAGACCTCAGTCTACCACTTACTGTTTTACTTGATCTTAGCCAAGTTATTTTCCAGATATCAAGTTTGTTCCTCCTGAATAAAATAGCAACAAGAAATATGCCCCCCACCAGGGTCCTTGTAAGGATTCAAGGAAGCCACATGGGAACAACTAGTCTGGCACTTAGAACATTTAGCTTTCCTCTTCTCTGATATTGCCAGGGAGAAAAATGGAAGAGAAGACATTTGGAGAAGGAAGAACAGAGGAAAAAGTTAAAAGTTCTCGCTTCTGCATAGGTGATTTAGAGTCAACATACTAAAATTAGGGAAGATTTGTAAAGTTTGAACAGCATCTTGTATAGCAAGTTGTCATCTAGTTACTTTGCTAAGTGGTAAAATAGGCATTTCACATCTAGACTAGATTATGATTACCATCCTTATACCATAGAATGTTAGCAGATCCAAGTTTATCTAGCATAATTGCCTAGTTGGTGTGTTGGTAAATACTGTTGAATAAGTTAAAAGGTATCAAAGACAATTTTGTGAACTCTGGTGGAATTCCCTGCCCTTCAGTGCATTCCCGTTGGCCATATTCTTGAGTTTAAATCCAATGACTATTACTCTGATGTTACTTTTCCCAATTGTATCTTGCCTCCTACCTCTAATTCAAGACTCTCATCATACTGAATTTTTTGTCTCTCTTGAACTATCATGCTTGCTGTATAATCTGGCTGAGAGTCACTTTGCCTCTCCTCACCTAGTTTATTCCTGATTGTCTTTTTTGTTTTGTTTTGTTTTGTTTTGTTTTGTTTTCTTGCAAAACTTGAAAGAGGGACAGCTTCTAGAAGGTATCTTATTTGTTATTATGCATTTTAACCCAGTAGGGCATATAAGGATTTCAGTTGTTGCTAGTGAATCAATAAGCAGTGCAATCTCAATGAGTCCATCTCAATGCAAATAATTATGATGATGATTTTCCAGTATATATATAATCATTATTATATATCAATATATAATATATAAATATATTGTCATATATATTGATATGATATATCAATATATAAAATCATTATTATAATTATATATATCCCAATATGATATATATATATCCCAATATGATATGTAGTTGTGTAACTCATAGACTTTCAAACACTATTTAATGGAGAGGGAAGGAATAGAATATTTTTAGTATGCATGTTATTAAGCACTAAAATGAATTATGGTCTCTGTCCTTTTAACTGCTATAGTGAATTTTTAAGCCACTGCCATATCATTTTGACTTGAATTTTTCAAAAGAAAAAAACCCAATATAATGTCTACTGTAACAGCACAATGAAGAAAATTCTCATATAAAAGCTTTTTCTCTTGAACTGGTATCTAATGAAAACATGCCACTAAGGGTTTTTTTTTAAGTAGTCATAAGGTGCAGTTGTTGATATAAGACATCAAAAATATAATTTTTTCTAGAAAAATTTATCTCAAAAAAGAGACATTAGCAATAAACCAAATGATCACAATGAAGTTATGCAATCGGGTTGTTCCAGTTTCCTTTCTGCAAAACTGTTGACCTTCTGAAGTGCTTTTTCAGATGCATCTGTGTAGCTCAGAATGGGTTCTGAAGGTAATATAAAAACAGTTCTAAGAAAATGAATGGTGTGTGAGCTTTTGCTTATTTGCTTCAGAAGCAATTTGCTTTAGAAAATTAACATCTGCTGTTTTGAAGCTAATCTTAGTGTATTGAATGCTCTTAACCATTTCTCAATCCCACAGTCTTTTATCTTGCTTCTCCTGCTGTGTTCCCACCACCTCTCATCCCATTAGCAAACCTTGAGATGGCCTCAGACTTACCAAACTACTGCTTTGGTTTCAGCTGCTCTTCTGCAAGAGGAAGTGAATGTGGAGGGTTTTCTCTGTGGTACAGTTGTGATAAAGCTGTGGTGGTCTTATCTCTCTCCTAGGTAGTGGCTCTTTATGACTACATGGCGAATCGATCAGATGAACTAACCATCCATCGTGGAGACATTATCCGAGTGTTTTTCAAAGATAATGAAGACTGGTGGTATGGCAGCATAGGGAAGGGACAGGATGGTTATTTTCCAGCTAATCATGTGGCTAGTGAAAGTAAGTTTTATGCTCCCTTCCTGGTTTACTAATATGGTATAACTGATAGTCCAAGATTTTATCATTTTCTATCCTTGAATTTGCTGTTTTTATAACTTTTGCATATACCTAGCAATGAGTGTTACTTTTCTATCTCATAATATTTATATATTTAAAAATTAAATAGGAGGCACTAATATGCTAGAAAGCTGCTACATCCTGAGGTTGGGATATCTGCTTCATGGACTTCCTGTCCCTGGCCCTCTCACTGCTTGATTTCTTCCTCAGCACTTTCAGCCCTGTCCCCTGCTTCACACACAGCCTTCTCAGCTCTCCTCTTGCCACAGGGACTCCTCTATAAACCAACAACTTCAGTAGCATTACTTCCCTCAACACCCACTCTTGCAGCTTCCGTATCTCATTCCTGGATGTAACCTATTAGGACAAAACTTCTGTAGATACGTTCATGCTCAGCTAAATTAAGCCTTCATGTGTGAAACAATACAACAAATGAACTAGGGAAGTAATTCTAACTACAGTTTCTGAAAGCTGTAAATTTGCTGCCAGGCTTTGAATAGTGAAAATAGAGCTCAGCTAGGGCACCAGAAAACAGAATAATGGAAACCACAGTGAAAGGGATAGAAGTATAGCAGTGCTGCTTCAGAGGACTGCATCCAATCAGCAGATGACTTAATAGTGTGTTAGGAAGAATGTAATATCTGAGGCTCAGTTGCAATCCTAGCTCCACCACCTAGACTGAAGTGCCTAAGTTTCCTTCTTTCAGATGAACAAGATTGGCACTGTCAGAGCTTTCTCCAACAAACACAACATTCGATTAGTCCTGATTTAAAATGTAAGACAGCCAGCCTCAAAGCCCTGTTCTGAATGTTTATATTAAGTCCTACAGATAATTATTGGTTTTTGTTAGTCCATGAAACACCACTTAGCCTAAACTATGCCTAAACAAAAGCACTATTACTTCCTAAGCTTGGCTGTGAGTTTTGAGACAAAAGAGTAAAACGAGAGGAAAAAGAAGACTTTTCTTTTACAATTGCTGGGCTAAGCCTGGGTAGAATAATTTCCCTTTACACCCTTGCCCACCCTTGCCTGTACCCTCATCATTCAAATAAATACATAAATAATCTTAAAATAAATAAAAAGAGAATTACCCATGTCTCTGCCCTATAGTGAAGTTCATAATTTCCACTTGTGCTGTTTTCATTGCTCTTCTGTAGCTGATAAGTGACAGATCACTCTTGAACTCTATTAGAGACATATCTGTATGTTTAAAAGGAAATGGAGATGGGGGAACACAAGGCAGCCTGGAAGGAAGGAGGTTCAGGACACAATCATTCTCAAGGAGATGGAAGAACAAGTATTTAAGTCAGATCCTGTGAACTCAGCACTTCAAACTTCCAGGTTGTCAAAAAGACCTGAGGTCCTTTCGTCTCCTTCCCATTGCTGCCTTTCTCATGGGATCAACTGCTAAAGTTCTGTAGCGGTAGCTTCTGTTTTTAACTGAAAAGCTGCCTGCATGACTATCATTATCACTCTGAAATACATCTGTCTACAGTTTTAATACATGCTATCATCGATTTCTTTAGCTATAAGTGGAAACACTCAATGTCACCTGGCATTATAAAGATTGTATTTCTCCAGGTAGAGTGGTGTTGGATTCCTCAGAGTCTAATTAATTTGCAGAAATAGTCCCTCAAACTTGATTGACCATAAATTTGAAATCTAATAAAATTTGATTTCTTTCTGTCATAACTGAAGTCAGACTTGGGAAGCCTGTTCTGGGGATGATTCTTGGCCACACACAGAAATTGATCCTGTGTCTCAAGCAGTGATCAGTCTGCCTACTGTGATTGCTTATTGTAACTCAGAATATTTAACATTTTCTTTTGACTTCAGTCACTGCATTGTGATGAAAACTTTATAAAGACCAAAACAAACAAACAAAATTCTTGGACGATCTGAGAATGCAATAATTGAACGCTCACACTTCAACACGGGTTACTTTCCTTTCCCTACTTATTATCCTGCATTCTATCTGACATCAACAAAGATGCAATTGTCAGGAAAAAAAAAAGATGCAGTTGGCCCACTTTAACATTAGAGAAGAAAAGACTACCTACAGTCTATTCCACTCTAAAAATAGAAGGAGGACTTATCATGGATCTATATCTGAAGCCAAATATGCAAAACAAATGCCTTAAGGGAGTCTATGTAAGAGCAGATTCTCCACCCACGGTTGCATTGTGGGCAAGTCCTTTAATAGAACAAGCCAGTAGGAGTTGGGATGCTATTGTTGTAAAGGACATACTCTCTTTGTATCTTACACCCTTGTAAAGGAAACTATGATTGGCTTCTCTGAATCAAGTCTAATACTCTTTTCACTATAAGGCAAAGAAATTGAATAATAAAGTCAACCAACAAAATCAACTAGCTTCATTTTGGTTTTAGATTTTGAATAGGTATTTTTTAACAGTGTCCTTCAATTCATTATTGCTCTTAACCAAATTGTATTTTCCATTTAACTCTCCCATGGCTCCTTAGACTCAAAGCATATATGCCCAACAAGTTATGTCAGTTATAATCTTATAAAGGCTCTTAAATTCTACCTTGCATATAGTTTCAATATCATGCATAGTCCCAGCTCTGTGATTGCTAATTTCACAATTATATAATATTCCCAAGTTGTTTCTTAACACCTCTTCATGGAAGAATTCAATTCTTCAGATTCCGACATTGTTATCCCTTTTCCTTTCACTGTTTACTATTCTCGTATCAGAGTTTGTCTTTATTATTACCTCTCTATCAAATAATATTACATTCTATTTTATATTACAGTTCCTTGGAAATTCATATGTTTCTGACCAGATTGTAAGCTCCTTGAGAGCAAAGACTTTCTTTTGGTCATCTTCATATCTCTTCTAGCAGTGTGTAGAAGCTAATCTTACACAGTGTGGGTTCCTGGTAAATGCTGAGATAAAATCAAATCTTCATGACCCCACAGTTAGTACAAATGACACCTTCTACCTTTCTGAAGTCTGCTGATTAAGATCTTCAAGTCATAGTTGTGTTCTTTTGTTAACAGTATTTAATACTACAAATTGCTGGTAGCAGATCATTTTTGGATAGCTTTTTGTTACACAATGAATTCATTGATTTCTCCAATCTCGTATCTGCTCCCCCCTCACTGCCAGTGTGTGTTTTCCTTGTTGAATAATTTTATTCTCTATGCTTATATGAAGTCCTGTTTCATTCCAGCACTGTATCGAGAACTGCCTCCAAAGATTAAGGACAGATCCCCTCCTTTAAGTCCTAAGGAAAAAAACAAAACAGAAAAAACTTCAGCTTCTCAAAAGGTAAACATTTTCAAGAATATCTTGCCTTTGTACTTTTGGTTTTTCACTCTTTTTCTATAAACATTATTTTCCATGCTTAAAATCCTTCATTGTTTTCACTATTATTTGTTTTTATCTTGGCACCAACATTATGCTATATATAAGGCAAATATTAGTATGGCCATTTTCCGGATAGGGAAACTGCGGAGGCTCAGAGAGTTTAGACTCCTGAGTTTAGACTCACAAGCTATGAAATGCAGTAAACACCCACAATAGAACTTGTGACTTTGAGTGTGATACTTTTTCCCTTCTGTATTTGCTGCTTTAACTGTGATCGTGACACTGCTGGCCAACTGACCTGGGATGAGCTTATAAAATAAAAAGGTTCTGATTTTTTGGAATATTACTTTTGCTTGCTAGTATTTTTAATGTTTTCAAGTTAAAATGAGTATGTATGTGTGATCAGCCAGGGAAAGAGCATGTATTTTGGTCTATGCTATCAGGATTCCCTCAGGAACATCAGACAGTAGTCATCTCGTGTTCGTAATACTTACCTAGAAAAGTCTAATATGCACTGTACCATCATGTGCATTGCTTACTAAACTGTGCTTACTGTGTGACATTAACTCTTGCTGGAATAACTGAATAACCCTGCTTCTTCTCAATTCTGTGACACATAAGTATGGTTTTTAGCAACAAATGTCTTCATTACACCATTGAGATAGTTTTTGATGATTGAATCTGTTGTGTATCATGCAGTCATTCAGCATGCCAAGCATTACTTCCATGCCAGACATTCTCTTTGTCCTTCCTAGAACAGGATGGAATAAACCAGGCCCTCACCCTGGGGAAGCTTCCAGGCTAGTAGATGAGATACCGTAAGCAGACAGTTCCACGAGCCTCCAGTAGGGACAGTAATGAACATATATGTGCAGTGCACTGGGGAAATGTTGCAGTTTGATATGAGAGAGTCCAGGAAGGGTTCCCAGAGGTAGAAATGCTTGACCCGGAGCTTCAGAAATTGAAAGTGTAAGGAGATGGATTTAGAAGACATTCCAGCAGTGGAAATAGCTAGAGGAAAGCTTGGTGTAGTATGATCAAGCACATGTAGGGAGCATTGAGTTTCTTGAAGAGAATAGGAGAAATGCAGGAGGTGGGCGACAGAGAGCCTGGCCAGCTATGTTAAAAATGCTTCAATTTTGTCATCTCGACAAAGAGGATCCACTCAAAGAGTGACAGAAGCAGATTTCCTTGTTAAAAAGACCATTCCAGTTGCAGCATGGTGGTTGTACTAAATACGGAGAGCTAAGACCTAGGGCAAGGAAATGCAGTCTATGTAAAAAAAATATAAGCCTGGAATTCATATTGTGGTAAAGTGAGTGCAGCTGCTGCTTACAATGTCGGCATCCCATATGATTGCTGGTTCGAGACCTGGCTGCTGCATCTTTGATCCAGGTGCCCGCTGATGAGCCAGGGAAACCTGCAGAAGATGGGCCAAGTATTTTGGCCTCTGCCATCCACATGGGAGGCCTGGGTAGAGTTCCAGGCTCTTGACTTCGGCCTGGCCCAGCCCTGGCCATTGTGGCCACTGGAAGAGTAAGCTAGTAGATGAAAGATCTCTGTGTGCAACTCCCTCTCTTGTTGTAAGTAATCCTTTTAAATACATATGCTTTTATTATGTACATATACATGCATATATGCTTATATATGTATATATAGAAAATTTTTACTACATATATGCACATTTAGTGTGTTTTACTATGTATATGTGTGTGTGTGTATATATATGTGTATATTTCCTGAACCAGTGGACATTAGAAAGAAGGGACATTAATTGATAGGATTTTAGGATTGATTAGGTGTGATTAGTGAAGTTGAAATTGTTTTTTTTCCTAAGTTCCCTGAATAAATACCAGTTCTCCAACAATAATGAAATATGAGTAAGGAAGAATTTTGGAGTTACAGAAAAAGAACTATTGGATAATAGATGATTTTAGATATATTCATTTGTTAGTTATCTCTGTATTTGCTCCCAGATGGAAATATTCACCAGGGAGATAGATGATGATAACAATTTACATCTTCATTGTATTATATTGGCAAATGGAAACTTATAATGGAGGTTGTAGGTAAGAGTGTCCTAGAGCTCTAAGAGGAAAAATCAAGACAGAACCAGATTACTAAGGGGTGGTAAAAGAAACAAGTGAGTATTGAGAAAATAGTGATAAAAGGAAAAGAACCAAGCAAAAGTGTTTGGAAGATAAGAGAGAAGATAGATTCAAGTTAAGTATGGACAGACCAGCTAAACATTTTGGTCATGTTAACATTTGATGATCAAAAAGACTCCACAGTTGTGTCCAGTATCAGTGGAGTAATAAGAATTTGGAAGTACATGAAAGAGTGAGTGGGGCTTTAGGGAATGAGTTCATGGAAGTCAATCTTAAAGAATAAAAGATCAAGCAATGGTTGAGAGAAACCTGGCATCCAGACATGGTTGCTTAAATATTGGAGAGACACATACAGCTAAATATAAGAGACACAGCCAATACAAAGATTTAATTTGAAGAGAAAGCACATCAAGGACACAGTGGATCTTACAGGAAGCAACAGGTTTCTAAATCAGAAACATGGATTCACAAATTAGTTTAGGCTTAGAGCAGTGGTTCTCAGCTGATGGTGAATTTTGTCTCCCAGGATACATTTGTCATTTCTGGAGACAGTTTTTGTCTTGACTTTAAGGAGAGCAATACTGCTGACATCTGATGTGCAAATGTCATGGATATTACTTAAACAACCTGGAGTGCAAAGAATAGCCTTCTTCAACAATTATCTGTGTGCAAATGTCATCAGTGCTGAGTTTAGAACAGTACCCCTGCAAAACAGGTACATGTGTACGAGGATGTGGCAAGTTTATAGAGTAAATGTCTCAGAAGTTAAGGATATCATTCTGTTCTAAACACAGAGCAGGGTCCACTTCATGTGTGGGTAGCAAAGGAGTAGCATGGAAGCTCAAGTAAAGGGTTAGTCAATTACCTTTAAGGGAAATAGAAATGGGAACTCATTTGAGACATATAAAAAGATATATAAGTAGTTCTGTGAGCTGATGTTTGAATACTATCAAAATGTAATCAGCCTGAACCAATGCATTTGGAATATTTTAATGTACCAGTGCTCAGTATCTAGGATGTAGCAGTGGAAAAGACAGATTTTGATTAGAATGTAATTACTGTTGTGTTTGAGGATAAGAATGTGGGTAAGAAAGTTAATGGGCAGATACTCCACGGAGAAGCAACCAGATGATTGAGGCTATAGCGTCAGGAGAAGACTGAGGACTAGGTTGAAGTAAGCTACCCATCCCCAGGTGGAGACATAGCATCAGGCAGTGAAAGAATCAGCAAGCTCAAGCCGCAGCATATAAGGCCAGAAATTCTTTTGTAGCTTTAGTATTTATATGTTAGATGATTCCAGGTTGTGATAAACTCCTAGAATGTGAATGAGTGGAAGTGAAATGGAAGGACTTGTTGCTAGTATTGAGCTGTTTGAGGACCCAGAATGTTGGGCAGATTGTCTTCGTGAACATTGAGAATCCAAGGTGATAGCAGGAGTTGAGATAGAGAGGACGCTTTTAAACAAAAAGCCAACATCCTAGATTCTTCTGTCAGAGCAGAGGGCTCAACCTTGACTTCACATTGGAATCATCTAAGAAACCAAAAAAACTAAGTACCAGGACTGTCCTCACCCTCAACAAAATGCACTTGTCTGGAATGGGGCCTGAACATGGGAAAAATCTCAAACGCTTCTGGAAAAGTGGCCATAAGATGCAGCCAACATTGTCTACGGCCATACCACCTTGAATGCGCCCGATCTGGTCTGATCTCGGAAGATGCAGCCAACATTGATAACCATTGCGCATTAGAATAGCCATAAGGTCGAAAGGCACCAGCAGTAAGGATAAGTGGAGCCAGCTGTCAAGATGCATAAGGGCTGTGCTTTGGAAGTGCAGGAGCCTAAAATTCGTATCAAGGAGCTGAGAAGAGGCCAAATATCAATGCCTAGCAGAACCTATGGTTTATCACTGGATGTTTACCAGTGGACAGCCTATCCTAACAGAAATGGGCCAGGGCAGGAAGTGTTTTATTAAAGACACCAGTTGCAGATACAGCAATAAAATATAGCAGTAGTTGTATCTTCTTAGATCACCACAAATTGAAACTAGAGACCAGTAAATCAAAATACCCCAGTAAATTTGTAAATTCTTGGAAGCTAAACGGCATGCTACTGAGTGAACAATGGTTTAGAGAAGAAATTTTAAAATTTCTTGAAACTAAGGAAGAGTCAAACACAACATACCAAAACCTTGGGGACACTGCCAAGGCAGTGTTAACAGGCAAATTTATTGCAACCAGTGCCTATACTAGCAAACAAGAAAGGCACCAGATAAATGAGCTAAGCATATATCTGAAGGAGCTAGAAAAACAACAACAAAATATTCCCAACATCAACAGAAAAAAAAATTATCAAAATAAGAAAGGGAATAAATGAAATAGAGACCAAAAGAATAATACACAAATCAATGAAACACAGAGTTGGTTCTTTAAGAAAATAAACAGAATAGACATCCCACTTGCCCAACTAATAATAGCAAGTGGGAAAAAAGATGAGAAAGGGAACATAACAACAGATACCATGAACATGCAAAGCATAATCAGAAATTATTGCAAGCAACTCTACGTCAAGAAATCAGAAGACTTTCACAAAAGGTTTCTGGACACATACATACCATCTACCAAAACTGAGTCATGAAGCAACAGGAAATCTAAATAAACCTACAATTGAGATGGATTGAATCAGTAATCAAATCCCTCCCAACAAAGAAAACCCTGACTCCTGATTGCTTCACTGCAGAATTCAACAAAGCTTTCCAAGTAGAACTGACCCCCAATTCTTCATAAACTATTCAAAACAATAGAAATGGAGGCAATCCTTCCAAACTGTTTCTATGAGCAAACATCACCTTAATA